GGGACGGAGTGCGGTAGGGGAAGAGGCGGTAGTAGGGGACCGACTCGTCAAACGTGATGTCCTGGGAGGACAGAACACGGCGAGAGGTGGGGTGGTAGAACTGCCACCCTGGCGCGTCAGGGGGGAAGCCAAGGAAGACGCAAGGAGCAGCACGAGGGGACAGCTTGTCCGCAGACAAGTCGCGGACAAACGCCCGAGATCCCCAGACACGGAACGCAGACGCATCGCCAACCTTCCCCGTCCACAGCAAAGCTGGGGAGGTCTCCGGCATGGAGACCCTGGGGTGAAGGTTGATCTGATGCGCCGCGTACCGAACCGCAAACGGCCACAGAAAATGGGGGGCAGCCGCATGCATCATGGACGTACGGGCGACGTCCATGACCATGCCAATGCGGCGCTCAGCAATCCCATTTTGCTGTGGAGAGTCCGGAAGCGTGAAGGTCTGGCGGATGCCTCGTGCACGACAGTAGGCTCGCAGAAGGCCAGAGGAGAACTCTCCACCTCTGTCAGAGTGCAGACGCAGAACAGGAAAGTCCGAGCCGAAGCTCTGCCTGAGCTGGAGACGAGCTGCGCGGATCCAGTCGATCAACACCTCAGTGACATCACCCTTGCTGCGCAAGGGGAAGACTGTGGTGTAACGCGAGTAGTCGTCAACCACCAGCAGGAAGTAGCGCTCGTGACCCTGTCCACGGACGCGGGCCGGGCCCCACACGTCCATGTGAAGCGTCTGCAGCGGGGCCTCTGTCGGAGGAAACTGGGAGGAGTGAGGGGCAGCCCGCTGCCGCCCCTCGACACAAGGGACGCAGGTAGGGCCTGGCCCCGGAGGAAGGGGAGGGAGGGACCGGGGAAGACCAGAGACAAGGACACGGGAGGCCATGCCTCGGAGACGAAGCAGGGAGGGGTGACCAAGGCGGTGGTGCCAGAGGAGAGTCTCGTGCGACAGGAGGCGACACGAACAGGGGGCAGACTCAGGACCAGACCTGGACGCTGCAGCAAACACCTGACCCGACGCAGCTACCTGACCAGACGCAGTGACTGGAGGAGACGCAGTGGTCAGTGTGTACAGGCTCGACCCCGGCCGACGTGTAAACGTGGTCAGGTGTCGGCCTGTCTGAGCGTCCGTGCAGTGGGTCACCCGCTGACTCGCAGGAGTGAACTGGTGAACCCCCGCATCCTGTAGGTCAGCACCACTCACCAAGTTCGTAGAGAACGAGGGGAGGTAAAGACCAGACAGGGTGCCAGAGGGGGCCGCCGGACACGGGAGGACAGTGGAGAAGTGAGCAAGGACAGGACCCCCAGAGGGGTCTGCCAGAGAGACTGCAACTGGCCGGCCAAGCGGCGTGAGTGTGGTGCGGTCTCGAAAGAAGGAGCGAGAAGCCCCCGAGTCAAGGGTGAAGGTGTGGGAGGCCGAAGCCGACGCAGTACCTGAGAGAGCAGACTCACCAGCACCTGAGGGAGCAGACACACGAGCACCTAGAGCAGCAGCCTCGCTAGCACCTAGAGCAGCAGCCTCACCAGTACCTAGAGCAGCAGTCTCAATGCCCGGGTCGGGCGGAAATCACCGGTAACAGTCACCCTCATCACTAATAGTCACAGCATACATGGCAGCAAGAATAGGATCAAAGTCAAGGTCAAAGACAGCTACACCCGCCCTAGACAGCTCGCCCCAGTGGGGGATCTCAGTGGCCTCAGGGAACTGGTGACACCAAGCGTCCGTCAGGCGGCCAAAGCAGCGCTGGGTGGAGTGCGCACCCCCGCACTGCTCACCCGCGCGGTCGCCGGTGCGTAGGACGTAGGTGCACGGACCAGTACCCCCACCCCGCTGGCGTGCAGCGTACCACTCACGGAGCTGCTGAGGGGGGGGGATGTCACGAGTGCGCTGCTGCCGCTGCTGCTACTGCTGCTGGCGCTGACCACCACCGGAGCCGACCCTCTGCGCAGCGCCACCCCGACCAGCTCCACCTCCTCCGCCGCCGCCTCCTCCACCGCCGCCACCTCCGCCACCTCCGCTCCCACCGCCACCGCCGCCGCCGCCTCCGCCTCCACTGCCGCCACCGACACCTCCACCCCCGCCACCACTCCCACCACCACCCCCACCCCCTCCACTGCCTCCACCGCCACCTCCGCCACCCCCGCCAACCCCTCCAGCACCCTTGCCCCCCTTGCCCTTGCCGGTGCGGCGTCTCCCGCTCGGGGCAGACGCAGCGCCGACCGACTCGAAACCAACGAGGTCGGCCGCAGCAGCAGAGGCAACAGAGGGCAAAAGGGGGGAGGGGGAACACCCCTCAAAGACGGGGGTGCGAGGGTCACCACGAGAGGCTCCTACAGCGACTATGCTCTTCTCTGCTGCTAGGAGGGCCTTCTCGAGGAGGTCAACGGTGAGAGTGGTGGGGCAAACTGAGAGGAAGTGGTCCCTGACTACGCGAAGGGAGTCAGGGAGCCGGGTGACTATGTAGTAGAGGGTGATGTACATGGGGGGGGGGTTCTTGGCGCAGAATTCAGCAGGAAGCGCAGCGCGGTAGCGAGTGTCACTAGTGCGGAGGTGCGTAATGAGGTCAGCGACTGTGGGAAAGGCAGCAAGGTCAGGGAAGAGGTACGGTAGTATGAGGCGGCTCAGTGCAGCAGTGGCAGGGGAGGAGTAGCGCGCAACTACAGCGTCGTACAAGGTGTGAGCACTCTTGTACTGGCTAAAGTGCGCACGCTCAGAGGTAGGCAGGTGGCGACGCACAGCAAGACGTGCAGCAGCATCGCGTGTGGCCCACTGTGAGCGAACAGTGGCGTCGGCATCAGCAGCAGGGGCAGGAGAGGCACCAGAGGTGAGGTCAAAGAGGGAGAGACCGTCTGCCCTATCGCACTGTAGGAAAAGCTGCAGGTCATCTACCCAGACGTCAAAGTCAATGGCCCGACCCTCAGCGTCAAAAGCGAGGACACTAGGGGTAGCCATGACAGCAGTAGACTAGCAGCGCGAATAGTAGGGTAAGGGCAGTGCAGTGACAGAGGCGCTGCTCTTACCGGACAGGGCGGCTCGGGCGGCTCGGCGGCTCGGCGGGTCGGCAACTCGGCGGCACGGCGGCTCGGCAGCAACTGCGGCTCGGCGACTCGGCGACCCGGGCGGCTCGGGCGGCTCGGCGGTACGGCGGTTCGGCAGCAACTGCAGCTCGGCGGCTCGGCGACCCGGCGGCTCGGGCGGCTCAGGTGGCGCGGCGGCTCGGGCGGCTCGGGTGGATCGGGCGGCTCGGCAGTAGCTCGGCGGCGCCGGCGGCTCGGTGGTGACGGCGGGGCCGCGTGGGGACGGCGGCGGGGCCGGGTGGAGCGGCGGCGAGGCCGGGTGGAGCGGCGTCGGGGCCGGGTGGAGCGGCGTCGGGGCCAGTAGAGGCGGCGCCGGGGCCGGGAAGGGCAGCTCCGGGGCCGCAGGGGTAGGCGACGGGGCCAGCAGAGGCGGCGCCGAGGCAGGGTGGTCGCGAGGGCGGCTTGAAGAGGCCGCGAGGGCGGCTAGAAAGGGCCGCGAGGGCGGCTAGAAAGGGCCGCGAGGGCGGCGTGAAAGGGCCGCGAGGGCGGCGCGACACGAAGGAGCCGCGAGGGCGGCGGATCGGGGCCGCGAGGGCGGCGCGACGCGGCCGCTAGGGCGGCGCGACGTGAAGGGGCCGCGAGGGCGACGCGACGGGGCCGCAAGCGCGACGCGACGGGGCCGCTAAGGCGGCGCGACAGGGTCGAGAGAGGGGAGCGCGACTCGGGCAGTGGAGAGCGCGCTCCGGGCAGGAAAAAAAATGTGGTGGGCCCTAGGAACAGTTCCCACAGGGGAACCTGCTCGATACCATGAGAAACTGAACGAGAATGAATTGACTAAGGGAAAGTTGGGTACAAATGTAAACCCTAGAAAACTGTACCCCATATGTGCTACCCCACTATTGCCTACAGTAGCTATGTCATATAAATCTGACAGAGGCCGTAGGAACACGCCCTTAGTTAGCTGAAAAACAGGATCTTGCAGAAGCATTGAGGACGAACCAATGTTCCCTGTGTGAACATTATTTTGGTGTTGAGAGAAAGCTCTTGCTTAGTCCCAAAAAAAAAAACTAATCAGCTCATTTAGTTCCCCCCCAAAAAAGAAGTAATCAGAAAGCTTTTCTGGATTAGAAGAAATCGTTTTAGTGTCATTTTAGTTGGCACATGCGTTTATAAAAAGAAACTGGATTAGAACCCTTGAATAGCTAGCTGATGGATACCCTCACTACACGAAGTCGATGCCACATGGCAGAGAAGAAGACTGCCACGCTGCGATGGGGTTCGATACGCTCCACCGTCAGATTCACCTTGCTCAATTCCCAGGAGATCAATACGCGGCATGTCCAAGACCCTCCATTAGCATCACCTCTCTCGTCTCCCCGAGCTCATTCCCGCGTGGTACTGGGGACCATTTGCAGTGACCTGCGTGACAAAAAATTGTGACTGGCTGAGCGAATTGTCGGCTGGCGTAACATGCCACCCAAAAACGCGAAGGGGCGAAAAATATAACCTCACATTGTGCGAGTTTCGCTAATCCGGAAGCGGTTGGGCCGATTGTTAAAACAGTTTTCGGGGTCGTGTACAGCTGCTTATGGGAGTGTACTGGGGTTCAAATCCACAGGGGTTCCGTAGATGGTCCGCGCTGGTCCGCGCTAAGCCACTGCTGCCAAGCAGTTTTTTTGGCAAACACCCCCTGAAATGATCAGCTGGCATGCAGAACATTTCACAAGCAGCAATTTCTTCTTGTCTTCACACCAAATCCCATTCGGTTTTTTAGCTGAAGCTTGAGCGTGATTATTTTGTGACAGGAGAGCTCAGAGATTCCGGTCTTGACGTGTGCGGCTTTTACTTAGTAACTTTGAGCTTCCTTGTCCGTCACAATGGCGGCCCAAACTGTCGTCTCCTCGTCGCTCGCTTCGCCAGCATTCGCCGTCGCGAATGTCTCTTCGCAACAAAATGTTAAATCGCGTCTGAGCCTAGTGGCACGTCCGGCTATGCGGATTAACCGGCAGACGGCCGTCAGCCGGTGCCGGCTGTCAACTCTGACGGTGCGAGCCGCGTCTGACGGTCAAGCGGCAGCGGAGACGGCTGAACCACAGTCGGCGTCGTTCGATGCGTCGCTCGTGAGCAAGAACAGCGTCGTGGTGCCTGACTCGGAGCTGAGCATCACCAAGGTACGCGTTAAATAGCGAGAGGAGGATCAAAGAATGTGCACGTTGTAAGCGACACGAACCAATGTACGCGTAATAAGAAAGCAGAGGAACCACGATACGCGTTGCGGTTGACCAGTAGCAAGTCAGAGTCATTTAGGTCAACGACTTTCTGCCCGAATACGCGTTGTAAGCAAGCGGAGCGACACCAGTGCATGGGTAACAAGCCAGCTACGCAATCAACATACTCGACAATGAGGTCAACGGCACGGTAGGCACAGTGCACTGACCCACCATAGGTCGCGACCATAACACAGGAACAATACTGCGTGCCAAAGCTTATCAACGTCAAGCTACATATATACTGGGCCAATTAGATTCCGTCCTTAGCAAAATTACCCGAGCTGGGCATTCAGCAAATGCTCCACTGGTTACCTAGTTCTGCGATTTAAACTGAAACATGAGACTCCTTTGAGGCGATTCATGTCAGCAGCTGAAACGCAGCTACGCAGAACTAGGTACGTACCTTGATTATGCAATCGAATCAGATTCTGTTATTGAGGGCGAACTAGGGTGCTCGATTGAATGCGGATCAAGGTACTCGATTGACGACGAACCAAACTGTGTGTTTGAAGGCGAGTAGCGATTCGCGATTGAAGGAGAAGTAAAGCGCGTGACTGAAAGCTAGTAAGGTACGAATGGGGCCGTGTAAAGCGTGGAGAGGTTGTGCTCCCTTCCCTGCTTTCTCTCACCCCTCTCTCAAATCCCCCTTCTCTCTTCGGTCTCCCCTCTCTTCCTCCCCTCTCTTCCTCCTCCCCCTTCTCTTCCATTTTCCATTGTCCCCTCCCTTCTCCCCAGACGCCTTTCGGCACCGTTGGCCTGACAGGGGGTTCTGCTGCTCATCCAGGCTGTCCAACCACCAACACACAACGCGCCTGCTCATTTCACTCGTGATCCGTCTCTCCCCCCCCCTCTCTCTCCCCCTCTCCCCTCGGTCACTTCTATCCAGACGTCGTTCGGCACCATCGGCCTGACGGTGGGGCTGCTGCTGCTGTCGTACGGCTTTGGCGCCTACTTCCAGTTCCTGCCGGGCTCCGAGTCCTCCGCCCTCATGCTCACCTACGGCTTCCCCACTGCGCTCATCGGATTCGCTCTCAAGGTACGAGCTCAATTTATTGTATGTTCTAATATACAACAGTTGTGATATTACTCGTGCTGGTTGATTGGCGGGGCATTCAAAGGGCTCCAAGTGGCCCTCCGTCATTCGGCCGTGGCTTCAAACGGCTCGCAATGATTCATTACATATGTATCTTCTATCCTCGTCCATTTGTTTCAACATGCACGTGGTGCATGCTCACACCCTCCCTCCCTCTTCCTCCCTCCCTCGTCCTCCCTCCCTCGTCCTCCCTCCCTCTTCCCCCCCCCCTCCCTCCCGCCATTACTCTCCTCCTCCCGCCCACTCTAGACCTGGACCCAACCCAAACCCTAAGCCAAAACCCCAAACCTCAGGCGTACCAGAAGGGGGGGCAGCAGGGGCGAGTGCAGGAAGTGCGTGAGGTTGTAGTCCACATAGAAGCGCCCCAGGATGGGCACGGCGCCCACCGAGTCGAGCAGATGCTGCAGGTTGGGCTGGAGGTTGATGAGATCATAGCCGTACGCTATGAAGGCCACCACTCGCTGTGGCGAGAGACAGGGAGAGAGAAAGAGGCAGCGTGGGAGGAGGGATGGAGGTGGTAGGGTTGGGGAAAGTGCTGGCAACAGGTGTGAGGTGGTGCATGGTGCATGGTGCATGGTGGGATCAAAGTTGACGTGATGGTAGCTGTGCAAGATGACGGCCACTACAGCACAAGATGAAGGCACACCACAGCACAAGATGACGGCCACTACAGCACAAGATGACGGCCATTACAACACAAGATGACGGCCACTACAGCACAAGATGACGGCCACTACAGCACAAGATGACGGCCACTACAGCACAAGATGACGGCCACTACAGCACAAGATGACGGCCACTACAGCACTCGCTGCAGCGAGCAAGGGGGAGATAGAGAGGCAGAGTAGGAGGCAGGAGGGAAGGAGTACAGCTTGGGTGTCGGGGACCAGCTGGGTATGTAGAGGGGAAGAGAGAGGGAGGGACAGAGAGAGGGAGGGACAGAGAGGAGGGGCAGAGAGAGGGAGGGACAGAGAGGGAGGGACAGAGAGAGGGAGGGAGCATACTGAGGGCAGCGGAAAGAAGATGCGGAAAGGAGGAGATGCATTGTGAAAGCCAATACACAAAGGCACATTCAATTTCAACTGAAAAAAAAAACACAAACTGTAAATTAAAAAAAAAAAAACAAAAAAAGAGAAAGTACATGCAGAATAAAGAAAGGAGGAGGACATGCCTTATCAAGAGCTGCAGAGAACCACGCCATGTGCGCACGCTTGCTCACTCCGACACTCACGAAGGCCTCCACCTGGTGGAGGGAGGGAGAATGGAAAATGGGGCACGCAAGGGATACGCATAGGGGATGGCAAGAGAGAGTGGCATGGAGTGAGGTGGAGCAGCGAGAAATGCGCCACGTGTCATTCATCCATCACCCATCCCATTCATCACCCATCCCATCCATCACCCATCCCATCCATCACCCATCCCAACCATCCATCATCCCAACCAACACCCATCCCAACCATCACCCATCCATAACTCATCATCCACCACCCATCATCCATGAATCATGCAGAAATATTAGTCTTGTAGCCGGCCATTGCAGTAATATCAGATCAACTGAAAGTCCAATAGATCCCCACTTGGGAGACATGACTTTGCATGGCGGCAGCTTAGTTTATATAAGAGATCTGTTTGTAGTAGGCCTGCTTAGAAACAACCATTTGCGTAGCAATTGGTGGTAACTAGTTTCGGCCTTCTTCAGACCACAAAGGCAACAATGAAAGCAAGCACCCTAAAAATACCGATCCCGAGGTTTCAGCGCAAGGCATTCCTTTGCGAGGCTGGGATGGCAGGGAAAAGCTACAGTAAAAAATGAACAATAATTTCACAGGCACATGCAGCAGCAGCTCTCTAGCAGCGATGGGCATGGCGTTCAGGGTGCGGATGATGACTTGGCCATGGGCATGAAGGGGCATCTAGATGGGCATGTGGATGGGCCACTCGGGAAGCGGAGAGACGTGAGGGGACCTGGCAGTACCTACCCAGTACCCCTGCAAGCAGCAGCACTCACGGGCACATGTGGAAGCATCTGTCTTGCAGCAAGCTGCACGGCATCCATGGCGCGGACTATGGACTTGGCCATGGGCATGAAGATGGGCCACTCGGGCGTGCTGGGGTCATACAGTGCCATGCCCATGGTGACTGGTGGACGAGGTGTGCGGAGGGTGAGGGGCGAGGAGGGGGATTGGGCGAGAGTAGGAAGGTGAAATCCTGGGTCAGCGCTCATATCCCCACATCCACTCATATCTGTTGATTGTGTAGGTGGTTGTGGCATTTTGCTCTAGCTGGTTGTGGGCTAAGGGTTTGGGCAAAATGTGCTTGTTAGACTTGTTGCGGGCTGGAATTGATCTCGCACCCAACAAGCACCAACAAACATTTGTTATTCACTACAATACTTTTGGTGTTGCTAGTTTAACACTTTGGGTTGCTTGGAATTGTTGTAGGGCGAGGGTTGGGTTGGTCGAGTTTGAACAACTTGTCACTTTGCAGATCTGAACTCTTGATAAAGCTACTCTCTTGATCTAATCCATGGTTGTCAAGCAATTTCGCCAGGATACCCCATCGCACTTAAATCGCGATAGCGATCGGCCTAGATCTTGGTTGAAGGCGTGCGTTACCATTCTGGAAAGTAGATATTAAGCCATTTCCAACGCGTACCTGCTCATAGTTTAAGGTTACGTGAGCTGCACGCAATGTTCCGTCGAAGTCGACGGACTTAATCTCTTGTTACGCTCTTTAGATTCGCTCGCTTTCCATTAAAGGTATCAGAGCTGGTTAGGCCTGCGACATTCCCTCTTGTCATCACATTCCTAATTGGCTTAAGAACCTCCACATCTAGTGTTGGTTATGACCCTGAAATTAGATGGACCTCCTAGGTTCACCGGCTCGGATTTTTCGCTATAGGGATTCCAGTTTATGCTTTGGCTATGTATTAAAGACCTAGAGGGCGTTTTGGAGGGATCGGAGCGAAGATCTGAAGCTGATGAAGGAAAGGCATCTGCTGGAGTCTCTAGCCAAGAGGGAGAAGGGGCTGGAGGAGCCTCTAGCTCATCTATAAGTAAGGGAAGTGGAGGAGGATCAGCATCACCGCGAACCGGAAGGCAACGGCTTAGTGTGGAGGAGCTACTTAAGGCACAGAAAGCATGGGACCGCAAGGACAAGCAAGCGTTCCAGTACCTGTGTTGGGCTTTGGAAGGCCAATTAGAGCTCCTAAAGATGCTGATTGACCTGAAGGGCAAGCAAGGAGCAGCTGCACTAGCATGGAAGAGAGTTCAATATCGTCATTTGCAAAAAAGGTTGCTAAACATACTCACCTGGAAGTAGCGGTTCTACACCATAGAACGCAACTATGGCGATGGGGAGACCATGGTGCAGTACCTCCAGATAGGGATGAGCAAAATGGCGAACTTGCTTTCCATTTTTTGGTTTAAATGTTCGCCCGAACATGTTCGGGTTCGACCCGAACATGTTCGCACGTTCGTGGCGCGCGCATGTCTAGTGCCCGAACATCGAACATGTTCGGGCATCAAACCCGTTCTCCCGAACATTTTGATGTTCGGGATGATTCCATCTCGATAAGGTCGCGCTGGTTGGTTACAAAAAGGACGGGAAGAGCAGATCGAGCTGTTTCCCAGCTCAATCTACTTTTCCTAGGGTTGATCTAGCCTAAGCGCCACCCAACGTACCTTCCTATACTAAATCGCCCACACCAACTGTTAGTTAGGCACCAATGGGGTGTTAAGGCCGTTATTTAGGGTTATACTAGCAGGTTTCGGTTTAAGTTATGCTATGCCTTGTTGTCAGTGCTCCTCTTCACGGCTCTGAAACACCCGTTCCATGGTTTAAGGGTGGGTACAAGGGGTGGGACGGTAAAGTAATGAGCATCCATTTCCCATTGGGAGCTCAGAACCCCTAAAACAGAAGCAGGTTCCCCCCCCCCCCCCCGCCCCCCCCCTGCAGTGGGCGAACCCGAACATGTTCGGGTTCGCCCGAACATCTCTGATGTTCGGCCCCCTTTAGTAGGTTCGCCCACAGTGGGCGAACCTCGAACATAAGATTTCAGTAAAAAGTGTTTGGGCGAACCGAACAGGTTCGGTTCGCCCACTGAGTGTGTTCGTCACAGTTCAGACGAACATGTGAGTATGTGAGGGCATTGGAGGAGCTGAACTATGAAGTAGATGAGAAGGAGATTCTTTACACCGCACTCCAGGGGCTGGACCAAGAGGCGAACGAGGCCCTACTGCAGTACCTTCACATTGAGCAGCAGAAATGAACCTAGGCCTGGATATGGGAGGTGTTGGTTTATGATGAGGCTCGCAAGCGTGATGCTGGAAGAGGAGTTGAAGGGGGAATGGGAGCAGATGATAGGGCTGCCTCCAAGAAGTACCAGCAGCGGCAAGGAGGTGGGGGGAAGAAGAAGGAGCTCGACAAGTGCCTCGTCCCTGGATGCAACCGGAAGCACTCTTGGAAGGAGTGCTGGAGCCGACCAGATGGGTGGAAGCCTCAAGGGTACCCAGAAGAGGCTCCACCTGTCATTAGGCCTGAGTGGTTGGAGAGGAGGATAAAGAATGGAGCATGGAACAAGAAGGGCAGCAAAGAGAAAGCGGCAGCAGCGGCGACAAACGAGAATAAGAAGGGAAAAGAGGATTCATCGGATGATGGTTTCTTCTTCTTATCCTTGGAGAAGGAGACGGCGCTTGCTGGTCGTGTGTTCGCTGACCCCAATCAGCTCATTCTAGACTCTGGGGCAACCTGTGCAATGGTACCTCGGCGCGACCTCTTCACCACCTATCACTCACTCCCACCTAACTCCAGAAATGTGATTGTGGGGAGCGGAGATGCGCTGCAAGCAATCGGCATCGGCACCATCACCGTCAAGGGGAAGGAGGGGGATGTGCTGAATGTGAAGGGTGTGCTTCATGTTCCTGGATTGGCAGCCAACTTTCTCTCATGCTCCCAGCTTGCAAGGCAAGAATACACATGCACCTTCACCATGGAAAGGTGTACGGTACGCAAGGGTGGAGCTGTGATGATGGAGGCAAAGTTAGAGAAGGGTCTATACCTTGTTCCAGTTTGTGTGCCTCAGATGGAGAGGGCAAGTAGTGTTGAAGCCGAGGAAGCTGCTTGTAGTACCCGTTGGAGGGACGTGGAGCAGGTGACAGCAAATTTGCTGCATCTACGCATGGGGCATGCGGGAAGGCAGCAACTCGTGGAGTGTGTGAAGAAGGGGGAGCTGAGAGGTGTGGAGATCAAGGAGGGTGGTGGGCAGCCAAGCAAGTGCCCTAATTGCACGACCGGGAAGCTGCGAAGGACCTCCTTCCCTGCCTCCACCACTAAAGCCTCCGCACCTCTTAAGTTGGTGCACATGGATGCATGTGGCCCCATGCAAACACCGGATAGGGAGAAGGGCAGCAAATACTTCATCACTTTCTTGGATGACTTCAGCCGCCTAGGTTGGGTTATCTTGGTGAAAACCAAGGATGAGGTGGTCAAGGTCTTCAAGCGTTGGATACGCTATGCGGAAAGGAAAGCCGGGGCGAAGGTGAAAATACTAAGGTCTGATTGGGGTGGGGAGTACATGGGGAAGGATCTGAAGTCTTTCCTTGAAGACAAGGGCATCACCCACCAGCTTTCAGTTGCCTACACGCCACAGCAAAATGGGGCAACGGAGCGGCTAAACCGGACCCACATTGACCTTGCCCGAGCCATGCTTGCTCATGCGTAGCTGGACCATACTTGGTGGGGGGCAGCAGTGCAATATGCCAACTGGGTTAAGAACAGAATGGGCAGCAAGGGGCTAGGGGGCAAGAGTTCTTACTTCATGTGGAACAGTAAGGTGCCTAGTGTGTCCATAGCACGAGTGTGGGGGTGCATGGCGCAGCGGAGGAAGCTGGAACTTAAGGCACAATGGGGCATTTTTCTTGGGGTGTCGGAAAGGAGCAAAGCTTGGATGTTGTGAAGTGTGGCGGATCTGCGGGTGGTGGAAAGCAGGGATGTGGTTTTCCACAAGGCGCTGAGTTACAAGGGGTGGAAGGAGCATGGTGCTAGTACAGTTGGGAGCTCCCTCCCAACAGGGGCAGCAGCCACAGGGGCAGCAGCAGCAACAAGAAAAGCCGCAGCAGTTTCCACAGGAGCATACACCGCCTGTTCCTGTGGTTAGGTGGCAGCAACTATTGCAGCAGCAGCTATCCAAGTCACCACGGTTTCCCTTTAAGTGAGTGACTTGGAAGGAGAAGCTGCAAACTTTGGAGCAGGGGGAGGCATCACCTCTGCGCCGCACCACACGCATCTCCCGGCCACCTGACAGGTTCACACCAAGTGCACAGTATGCTTGCATGCATGATCATGAGGTGCATGATTTGGAGGAGTGCATGCTTGTGGATGCTGAGAGGGGTGAGTTTGGGCTTGATTTCTGTCTCATGTGTCAGGTGCATGAGCCTAAGTCGGTCAAGGAGGCCTTGTCCTGTCCTGAGTGGGTCGAGTCCATGCGTGAGGAGCTTGAGTTTCATAGGGTGAACGAGTCTTTTGAGCTGGTTGATCCAGCTTGTGTGCCACCTGGAATGGAGGTCTTGAGGTGTCTGTGGGTATGGAAGTGTAAGCACATGGCTGATGGGAGTATTGAGAAGCCTAAGTCCAGGTTGGTGGCCATGGAGAACACTCAAACACGAGGCGTTCACTATGACCAGGTATATACCCCGGTGGGTAAACCTACCACCCTGAGAGGTCCCCGTGGCATGGCAGCATCTTCGAGGTTTCACATCCATCATATGGATATGACCATTGCCTATCTCCATGGGGTCTTGAAGGAGGAGCTTTACATGAGGCAGCCCCCTGGTTTTGATGATGGATCCGGCAGGGTTTGCCGACTCAAAAAGTCAATCTATGGGCTAAAGCAAGCTCCAAGGCAGTGGTACTTCAAATTTGATGAGGCGCTGATGGATTTTGGCTTTGAGAGGTCGGGGTGTGACCCCGGCTTGTACCACTTGGTGAGGCGTGAGGGCAGGCTATCCCTCTACCTCTGTGGATGACATTCTGCTCATGTCTTTGAGCATGGTTTTGCTGGACGAGGTGAAGAGTCTCTTGTCCTCTCGTTTCCGCATGAAAGACTTGGGGGAGGCTAAGTACTATGTGGGGGTGCAGAT